GCTTACCCTAGGTAGGATGATTCATTTAAATAGAAATGGATAACAGGAACTATATCATATGCAATGCAAATTTCACCCCTGCAATTCCTTGCTAGAAGGAAAAGGGAAAGGTGCGGTGCAGGTGGTTACTCAGGTGACAGTTACACTGGGTTAGGTAGAAGTGTCTAAGGGATAAAAATCCTTCTGTATCATCCTTTACATAAGGAAACTGAAGCCTTAACAAGCCCTTTTGTAAAAGTGTGGATCTGGTGCCTTCTTCAGCAGCAATGGTGTTTCTGAGGGTAAGTTCACGTAAGCAGAGCTCACCCACTTGCAATGTGGTCAATAAAGCATTGCCCCTGTTAGGCTCTCCCCACATACACTAAAGAGAGGAGGCTTTCTGCTTAGTATTGAGTTGTTGCTTCAAAACACCTTCTAGCAAGTGCTGTCTTGCTCTGATAAATTCCTGTGAGCATAAGAGCATCTCATTGTCATTTTAAATCTGTGGATATCATTAATTAAAGATACTCAGAGGGAGGAGTAAATAAAGATTTTTAACAAAACAGCTGGGATTTGCTGTTGTTCTGGATATTATTAGCAGTATAATCTGAGACAATGGCTGAAATGGAGGAAAAACGCCCAAGGCCACCGCACTCCTGATAACAGAGCAGTGTCTCTTGCTCTGATATTGTCAAGGCTGCGGTTCACATGGAAGTGAAAAGCTGTGGATAGGGCCAGCCTACCAAAGCTGCTTGCTTCTGTCTTCAGTGAAAGGTATTCATCCTTACCTCTATCTGGAAAGGACAGCTTGTGTCACAAACAGCCCTCTCTGCATAGAGCAAGCCATGTAAAATCTGTGATAGATGAGCCTGAGTTAATAATTTGCTGCAAGTTTTCCTCTTGGCAATGAGTGACCCCAACAGTTGCATCGTTCACAGAACCACCTGGGAAAGGTGAAGTGTTGCTGTGATTTGGCCTTGACTTTCCCTCCGCGATGGTAACATGCCTCTCTCTGCGGCCTGCTCTGGGAGGCCGCAGTTGCCTGCTTCCTTTGAAGATACTCTTCTTCACACCAGAATACTCTTCATCTTTCCTTTATCCAAAAGTCATGACGCTTCATGACAGTGAGGGGGCAGCTGCAAGCACACAGGGACAGAGAGAAGATTAGTGGCGTGACCAAGAACACGAGCAGAATATACCTAGAGAGGGATTTCAGCTGTTCACCTAGATGGTTTTTCAGCAGACAGTGGTGGGCTGACTTAGCAGCACCTGCGCTTTGCAGCTCTGAAGGTTGTGTGCTCGCTGCTATCCAGCAGTTGGATACTTTGAGAGGGATGTTTGTAGGTTTATGCAATGCTGTTTCTACCTGTATTGTTGCACTGTTAGTTTTTTTTCCATGTGAAAGGGTAGGCATTTTCATCAGAAGATCTTCCAAAGTCCAAGTAAGTCTCAGTTTTGCATGTGATCCTCATGCATCTGGCTTTCTTCTGTTCGAGTTGTAAAACAGTGATAGCAATATGACTGAGTATGTCATGGTCCTGACAACAGAGGAAATAACATGGGGGGAAGCGTGGAGCTGGCCCTTGCAGCGTGCCACAGAGAGAGGCACAAGGCTCGTCACGGGCTGCACACGTATGGCTCTTTTGCCATTGAGTGGCAGTATATAGCAGTATAGCAGTATATGGGAACTACAGCATGGCCATGGTGCCAGGACCATGTTCCTCACTATGAACACAGTGCTCCTTCTGTTTTTGTCTTGCCCTGCAGGGGCTGTGCTGGCTGATGTGGGTGCTGGGGAACGTCCATATATTGTAAAACAGACGAAGGTTATTTCCTTGCATTGTGATGGGATAAGTGGTAAAAAGGCA